GGGCAACTTCTATTTAAAACTATACTCAGTGATGGAATATACCTCAAAAACAAACATTTGGTCTGACCATCTTTAATACTGGTGAAGAGTCTAATGATTGTTGCCAATGAAAATTATTTCATCCAATGTGCAAAAGAAGTAAAGCTGTCGTGTTCCTCATGACAAAAATACTCAGGGTCACTCCAGGGGAACTGGGCTGCACGAAGTAACCACACAAGAGACAGAGAGACCTTTTTCTTTGGGTACTGTGATGGCTCCGCTGACCTTAAGGATCCGAAGAAAAAGAGCAAGAGAGCATGTGCTGACCCCTTTTACTGAGGAGAAGCCACTCAAATGAGGCCAGGGGTCAGGGTTCAGGGGGCAGAGTCTAGCTTCATGATGTCCACTGTCAGCAGGTTGACTGACATCTAGGAAGGCCACACCCAAAGGCAGAGCAAGAGAAGGGGACACACAAAGGGCGTTTCCATGCAACATTCTATCCCAAACAGGGCAAGGGGGTAATATCACAAAGGAACAGGTGAGCGTAGCTCGATCCATGGGGTTGCAGGAAGGCGCGCCTATGCATGAAGGAATACACATTCCACTACCTCGAGGATGGGGCAATCAATGTCTAGGTCACTACTAAAGTGACCGACAGAGACTCTTCTGATCACGGGAAGGAGAATGCCAGTCATTCAGCATTCAGCCTCCCATATACAGCTGTTTGCTTTTACTTGAAATACTTGATCTCTCTCTCTCTCTCTTTTTTTTTTTTTTTTTTTTTTTTGGTACTGGGGATTGAACACAGGAGCACTGAGCCACATCCCCAGCCCTTTTTAAAAAAATATTTTATTTAGAGTCAGAATCTCACTGAGTTGCTTTGGGCCTTGCTAAATTGCTGAGGCTGGCTTTGAACTTGAAATCCTCCTGTCTCAGCCTCCTGAGCTGCTGGGAATACAGGTGTGCGCCACCATGCCTGGCACATCTGCTTTAAAGATGAGTCTCGGAGAGCCCAAAAGCCTGATGACATTGTTTATCTGCATAAATGCATCTGAAGAAGCATTTCTATTCATGCCCTAATTCTGAGTCTAAACACTAATCCAATTTCAAAATCAATCAAGGGTTTTTTAGATCCAGGAAGTCTTAGAATTGTTGCACATGTGAGAATTGTGTCTCTGAGAGCCTTTTCTACCCTGTTCCCCTCTGGTGCACTCCACAGGTCCCTGCAGAGTAGGCAGAGTAGCAGTGCCCCAAGTAAGGGGGACCTAACATCTCAGCCCCTAGACCTCCCGCATTGTGGTGGGTGTGCTCCGCCTTTGGTATGTGACTGCAGCTTTCAGGGTAGACACAGGGGCCGCCAGCATGGACAGAGACCTCACAATAGTGAGAACAGTGGTTTCCAGAGGCTGGGAGGGGTGGGGGAGGTGTGGAGAAGGAGGACATGGGTACAGGGGTGAGTTGGTCAGGAGGAATAATTTCCCGTGTTCCACAGCCAGTAGGGTAAGTACGGTTGACAGCTTTAATGGCATTTTCCTTCCCTCCCTTCCCTTTTCTGTTCCCTTCTTTCCCTTTTCTTTTTGATGGGGTCTTGCTGTGTTGCCCATGCTGCCTTTAAACTCCTGGGCTCAAGTAATCCCTGTCTCAGCCTCTGAATAGCTGGGACTAGAGGCGATTGCCGCTGTGCTAGTTAATGGTAGTGAGGATGTTCCCAACCAAGAAATGATGACTGTTTGAGGTGACGGCTATACCAGTTACCCTGATCTGAGCATTACACGTTGTTTACATGTAATTGAAATGTCCCACTGGAACCCATAAATTACAATTTTTATCTGTCAGTTAAAAGTAATGTTTCCAGGCACTGGGGATTGAACCCAGGGATGCTGAACTGCTGAGCTAGATTTCCAGTTCTCTTGGTTTTTTATTTTGAGACAGGGTCTCACTGAGTTGCCCAGGTTGGCCTCAAACTTGCCATCCTCTTGCCTCAGCCTCCTGATTAGCTGAGATTCCAGTAGTGTGCCACCATGCCTGGCTTTAAAAAAAAGAGGAGAGAAAAAATGTACAAAGAAACACTTCAGTGAGGAAATTATGATTTGTTGACAAAACTATGAAAACTAGTGACATAAAAAATTGACAAGTCAAATATAACTCTGATACCATTCTGCATTTCCCAGTTGTGCAGTGTTCTTGATCGACCACTCACCAATGTTTTCAGTATCTATGGGCAGTACTTTTATTCAGTTATTAAAACAGTTTTGATGACAGTCACATGTAATTATGATGACCAGGAAATCAATTTCCTCAGCGATTACTTGGCACAGCGTGCTCGCCAGCATGGTGAGTGCAGAGGAGTTAAAAACAGAACAGCGAGCCGGGCACCGTGGTGCAGGCCTGTAATCCCAGCGGCTGAGGCAGGAGGATCACAAGTTCAAAGCCAGCCTTGGCAATGGTGAGACGTTGAGCAACTCAGCGCTCCTTCCCCTTGTTCTAGTGACGGGCTCTTTCTGACTGCTGCTCTGCCTGGGGTTGTCCCTGGATGGCCCTGGGAACTCGCTTCTTTTCACTGAGCTTGTTGTCCTTGTGCTGTTTGGGTCAGAAGCCTTGGCAAGTGCTTCAGTGCAGGGGCCACACAAGGGCTTTTCCCTCTGGACCTCTTGTCTGGTCCTGGGGCACGGGCACGGATGGCATGGAAACCACTGTGGCTTCTTCCATGCTTCCTCCCGTCTTGAGATGCTGATCAGTGGTGTCTGGGGGACATGCACCGCGTGTGGATGTGGGCTATCAGGTGTTCGTCCAGTGGGCTCTGGCACATTTCACAATCAAATGGCCTGTCCTCCCTGTGGAGTTTTTAAGCTTCTTCAACCTGCCTTCACCTGGAAATATCTTCCCATTTGCTCCTGAGGGTGACCAGAAAGCCAGATGCACCTTTGGTCACTGGCTGCTATCAGGCACCTCACGTCTGCTCATCAGTGCTCATCACAAGTGTCAGGGCTTGAGGATCTGCACCCTGGGCCTGCTGATTTCAGGGCACCGTGGATTCTACGTCCTGCCTGTATCAGTGTACTTTTCTAAACCTCTTGCTCCCCAGCTCACTTGCTCTCTCTCTCTCTCTCTCTCTTTTTTGGTATCAGGGATTAAACCCAGGGGTGCTGAGTTACTGAGCCACATCCATTTTATATTTTATTTTGAGACAGGGTCTTTCTAAATTGCTTAGGGCCTCACTAAGTAGCTCAGACTTGTGATCCTCCTGCCTTAGCCTCCCGAGCTGCTAGGATTACAGGTGTGCACCACCATGCCTGGCTTTCCCCAGCTCTTTCAAATCACTGCCTGCCCCCTGGGCTTTGTCCCAGGACAATTTTGGTCCCCCTGGCTCTGGGGTATAGATGTCTGTGCACTCCGTCATCCTGATCTCTGGTTTCTTCCATTCTTCATCCTGGGTGTCTGCAGCACCTCCAAGGGGGTGATGCATTTTGAGACAATGCTTTCTTATTGGTTGACCATTGTTTTCATCAGCACTAGACACATCATACTTCTGAGAAGAGAGTTTATTAAAAAAAAATAAAAAACTCTGGATACAAAGAATTGAGAAGAGAGTTTATTTAAAAAACTTCTGGATACCAAGAATCTCCCCAGATAGGACAGATGATGACATCATTAAGTTAGTGGCTTTTTAGGCCTTGGTGTGTACATGTCACTTAGGACCTCTTGGGATATACCAGGATGGAGAACATCTGTTTCCGCTTCTGAAGCCCTGTCCGCCCCTCGCCTCACGGGAAGCGCTGTACATAGGCACTGCTAAGGGTGAGAACACGTGCTCTGAACTCCATGTCATCAGCCACAACTGCAACAGCACAAAATTCTCCTTGCAGGCGTTCAGCTGTTAGTGTTTTCAGAAACAGAGTTCCACGATTACTGTCATTGTAGTTCCTGGTTCCAGACATATCGATGACAATTACATGGACAGCTAAGGCTCCTACCTTAATGCCTCAAACACCCAAATCTTCAGGTCAGAGTAACGTGGTTGGTACATAAGCCCTGCCTTGGGCCACAGTCCCAGCCAGTGCACTCACCAGCACGCAGGCTGGGGCTTGGTGGGTGGGGCTGGAGGCCACTATGATACTCTATTTCCTTCAACCAAGAATGGAGGCAGTTCCCAAAAGTGCATTCAGTATAAAAGAATTGAGTGAGAGTGACAGCGCTTTGGAAGAGATGAATACACAGGAATATGTAACAGTTTCTTCCCTCTAACTGCGGTGGGGATTTGGCTTTAAGCTTCCTGACACACCCTAAGAGTCGGGTAGGCAAAGCTGTAGCTGAGCTGGTTGAGCCCTGTCCTGTTGGAACTGTGAGTCCTTCTGTCATGCTGCTGAGATGGCATCTCAGCCCTGATGACAAAGATGGTAGAACTAAAGCAGTCTGGAGGGTATCTTTTATGTTTTAATCATTGAAAACCTCCTCTGAGCTACTGACAATCCCATTACTGGAGAGTAGGTGTAGGGCTGGGCCTGCGCCAAGGACTGACCCTGTTGGGGCCTGGGTGGGGTGCAGCTTCACGAGCATCAGATTTCCATCTGGGGCCACGGGTTGGGTCTGGGCTCCCAGAGCCCCATGGTAGCAGGAGGGAAATCCTGTGTGGTCTGTCGAGACTGATTGGGGTCCAAAGCTACAAGTGAGAACTAAACCAGTTAAAGATGTAAGACTTTTGGAAAAGCCATTTACTGTATGTACTTGAATCCTGCCAGCAATTCCTGAGCATACAGTTGTGTATGTGAGTGTGTGTGTGTGTGTGTGTGTGTGTGTGTGAATTTTCACTGTGCTATATTGGCACATCTGTGTGAAAGCAGATGTAAAGTATATGCTTAAATTTCTTAACTTTTGGGCTTAGTCATCTTTGACAAAGTAATCTGGGATAACCTTATATTTTAGTTTCTAACTAACGATAATAAATAAAAAGGACACATTTATGTCAATATATTGGCTCACAGTGTACAGTGGGTTTAAACATTTCCTTTCTTTGTTACCAGGATTTTGACTCCTTCTTCTCTGCAAAAGAAGAGAATATTATCTATTCCTTCCTTGGCTTGGCTCCCCCTCCGGGCTCAAAGGTAAGCTTGGTCCCCCATTGGGGCTCAGTGCAGGGTATGATAAAGGAAGACAGAAATCGGCAAACAACACCAGTTAGTAAATGGTGATCTTCAAATTACAAAATCACAAAAGTTTCACAAATTTTGTGAAATTTATGAAATGCTTCATGAATTTGCCTGTCAGCCTCCTACAGAGACCATGCTAGTCTTTTCTATATTGTTTCTGTTTGGGTATATGTGTTGCCAAAGCAAGAGCTAACATGATTGTAGCATACCATATTCTGAGAGATTCTTTCCCCTAGTGATAATGCAGAATATTTACTAAAACAAAGTTATGCTTTTTATATTTTTGATGTTTTCACCATTTTATAGTAAATTTTATAAAACTTAAGAAACTTAAGAAATGTTAGGGCTGAGGATACAGTTCAGTGGTAGAGAGCGTACCGGGCATTTGTGAGGCCTGGGTTTGATCCAGCATTGCAAAACCAAAACCAAAACCAAAAAACAAAAAATAATCTTAAGTGTATTCATAAAATATGTGAAACTAAGAATTCCTAGCTTGTGTTTATGAAATTATTTTGTTATGAATTTGCTTCTCATATAGCTTATGTTAATTTCATAATAATAGATGCCCTTAGGTTAATCATTTCTACTTAAAATGCTCTGAGCTTGGGCTGGGGATGTGGCTCAAGCGGTAGTGTGCTTGCCTGGCATGCGTGCGGCCCGGGTTCGATCCTCAGCACCACATACAAACAAAGATGTTGTGTCCGCCAAAAACTAAAAAATAAATATTAAAATTCTCTCTCTCTCTCTCACTTTCTCTTTAAAAAAAAAATGCTCTGAACTTGCTTTTTAGTGGATAAACAAGGGAAAAACAAGAGCTAGACTCAAGCACAAGCCAGATCCTGTCCCATCAGGTTGTTTCCTTGAGTGTCATCTCATCTTTGAACACATATAATTAAATAGGAAATCACTATAGTGAAGCCAAGGACACCATCTGGATGTCCTGTGTGGATTGCCCATTTCACCTGGGGGGGGGGTGGCCACTGCTCCGCTTGCCTCCGCCAAGACTCATTCACTGAATTCAGTTCCCACTTGGGAAGTTCGCAGAGTCCCTCTGGTGCCTGCCTGCCACCAGAACTGGCTTCCCCTCTCCTCGCTTCCTTCTAGATGGTTCTTCCTTCTCCTCTCTGCCAGGTTCTCTCTCTCAAAAGCCATCTATCTCCCATATTCCCACCACTTCCCAGTCCCCTCCCTCCAGACCTTGTGGTGGGAGGGGAGAGTCTGGTTTATGTCCAAAGGCCTATTAGGGGGTTTTCTAAACAAAGTGACTTTGCTGTCCCAGGTCAATAATAATGTGGCAAGGCCAGGCATGGTGGTGTGCATCTTTAATCCCAGTGGCTTGGGAGGCAGAGGCAGGAGGATCGTGAGTTCAAAGCCAGCCTCAACAATTTAGCAAGGCCCTAAGCAACTCAGCAAGACCCTGTCTCTAAATAAAATATAAAAGGGGTTGGGATGTGGCTCAGTGGTTAAGCGTCCCTGGGTTCAATACCTGGTACAAACAAACAAACAAAAAACAAAAAAAAGTGGCAAAACTTTGAAAAGAAAGTTTTTTTTTTTTTTAAGCCTTAGGTCATAGGTCAAATTCTTAGAGCCACCTTCTGCACCTAGATTCAAAGGGAGAGAGTCAGAGTAGAAAAATGTATTCTCTCCCTACTCACAGCAAATCCCAGGAATCACATTTCTGCATTTCTTCCCTTTGCAATGTTTCTTCTTCCTATTGTCTTTTTTATAGCATTAGGATTTCTTTCTTTCTTTCTTTCTTTTTAATGGTATGGCTCTAGTCTTCATGACACTTAAAACTTTTCTCAAATACTCTATCACATTGTATCATAATTGGCTTATTCATTCCTATACTTTTAATTTTTACTTATTAATGTATCATAAATTTTTTAATGCAATTACAAGCTCATACTATTGTTTAAATAGTTTGTAAAACAATTTATTGTGTAAATGTAACATAATTTTCTGTTCTCTGCTTATAATTTTGAACCTATGATTTTTTAAATTATAAATAACTCTGCAGTGATTGTGGCAGGGAAATAGTGTTCTTTCTTTTGGGGTATTTCCTTAGGATAAATCCCCAGTAACTCTTTTAGTGAGACAAAGTGCACAAATATTATTATGGATTTGAAATGAGCCACCAAATTGTTCTGTCAGAGGATTATACCATTTATCCTACTATGCCATGGTAGATCAACCTCACTGTTCAGAGATGAGTGTGTTTAATCTCCTTGATCTGAGAACATTAGGTTCTATTTTTAAAAAATTGCTTTTGATTTTATTGTGCTATGAAGGGAATTTAGTCTGATGAAGTTTCATCTTAAGTATGGTTTTGTAACTCAGCATGTATTTTTTTGATATTTTATATTTTTTATTGACAAATTAATATTTATTATATACAACAGGATGTTTTGAGGGCTGGGGATGTGGCTCAAGCGGTAGCGTGCTTGCCTGGCATGTGGGTGGACCGGGTTCGATCCTCAGCACCACATACAAAGATGTTGTGGCCACTGAAAACTAAAAAATAAATACTTTTTTATTTTTTTTATTGGTTGTTCAAAACATTACAAAGCTCATGACATATCATCTTTCATACATTTGACTCAAGTGGGTTATGAACTCCCATTTTTACCCCAAATACAAATTGCAGAATCACATCGGTTACACATTCACATTTTTACAAAATGGCATATTAGTGACTGTTGTATTCTTCTACCTTTCCTATCCCCTACTATCCCCCCTCCCCTCCCCTCCCATCTTCCCTCTCTACCTCATCTGCTGTTGTTCAATTCTCTCCCTTGTTCCCCCCCCTTTCCCCTCACAACCTCTTATATGTAATTTTGTGTAACATTGAGGGTCTCCTACCATTTCCATACGATTTCCCTTCTCTCTCCCTTTCTCTCCTCCCACTCGTCTCTGTTTAATGTTAATCTTTTCCTCATGCTCTTCCTCCCTGTTCTGTTCTTAGTTGCTCTCTTTATATCAAGGAAGACATTTGGCATTTGTTTTTTAGGGATTGGCTAGCTTCGCTTAGCATAATCTGCTCTAATGCCATCCATTTCCCTGCAAATTCCATGATTTTGTCATTTTTTAGTGCTGCGTAATACTCCATTGTGTATAAATGCCACATTTTTTTTTATCCATTCGTCTATTGAAGGGCATCTAGGTTGGTTCCACAGTCTAGCTATTGTGAATTGTGCTGCTATGATCATTGATGTGGCAGTATCCCTATAGTACGCTCTTTTAAGATCCTCAGGGAATAGTCTGAGAAGGGTGATAGCTGGGTCAAATGGTGGATCCATTCCCAGCTTTCCCAGGAATCTCCATACTGCTTTCCAAATTGGCCTCACCAATTTGTAGTCCCACCAGCAGTGTACAAGTGTACCCTTTTCCCCACATCCTCGCCAGCACTTATTGTTGTTTGACTTCATAATGGCTGCCAATCTTACTGGAGTAAGATGGTATCTTAGGGTGGTTTTGATTTGCATTTCTCTGACTGCTAGAGATGGTGAGCATTTTTTCATGTACTTGTTGATTGATTGTATGTCCTCCTCTGAGAAGTGTCTGTTCAGGTCCTTGGCCCATTTGTTGATTGGGTTATTTGTTATCTTATTGTTTAATTTTTTGAGTTCTTTGTATATTCTGGATATTAGGGCTCTATCTGAAGTGTGAGGGGTAAAAATTTGTTCCCAGGATGTAGGCTCTCTATTTACCTCTCTTATTGTTTCTCTTGCTGAGAAAAAACTTTTTAGTTTAAGTAAGTCCCATTTGTTTATTCTTGTTAATAACTCTTGGGCTATGGGCGTCCTATTAAGGAATTTGGAGCCCGACCCCACAATATGTAGATCGGAGCCAACTTTTACTTCTATCAGGCGCAGAGTCTCTGATTTGATATCAAGCTCTTTGATCCATTTTGAGTTAACTTTTGTGCATGGCGAGAGAAAGGGGTTCAGCTTCATTTTGTTGCATATGGATTTCCAGTTTTCCCAGCACCATTTGTTGAAGATGCTATCCTTCCTCCATTGCATGCTTTTAGCCCCTTTATCAAATATAAGATAGTTGTAATTTTGTGGATTGGTCTCTATGTCCTCTATTCTGTACCATTGGTCCACCCGCCTGTTTTGGTACCAGTACCATGCTGTTTTTGTTACTATTGCTCTGTAGTACAGTTTGAAATCTGGTATCGCTATACCTCCAGATTCACACTTCCTGCTTGGAATTGCTTTTGCTATTCTGGGTCTTTTGTTTTTCCATATGAATTTCATGATTGCTTTATCTACTTCTACAAGAAATGCTGTTGGGATTTTGATTGGCATCGCATTAAACCTGTAGAGAACTTTGGGTAATATCGCCATTTTGATGACGTTAGTTCTGCTTATCCATGAACAGGGTACATTTTTCCATCTTCTAAGATCTTCTTCTATCTCTCTCTTTAGGGTTCTGTAGTTTTCATTGTATAAATCTTTCACCTCTTTTATTAGGTTGATTCCCAAGTATCTTATTTTCTTTGAGGATATTGTCAATGGAGTGTTTTTCCTCATTTCCATTTCAGAAGTTTTGTCGCTGATATACAGAAATGCCTTTGATTTATGCGTGTTGATTTTATATCCTGCCACTTTGCTGAATTCATTTATTAACTCTAGCAGTTTCTTTGTAGACCCTTTTGGGTCTGTTAGATATATTATCATATCATCCGCAAATAGTGATAATTTAAGTTCTTCTTTTCCTATTTTTATGCCTTTAATTTCTTTCGTCTAATTGCTCTGGCTAGTATTTCAAGAACTAAATTGAATAGAAGTGGTGATAGAGGGCATCCCTGTCTTGTTCCAGATTTTAGAGGGAATGCCTTCAGTTTTTCTCCGTTTAGGATGATGCTAGCCTGAGGTTTAGCATATATAGCTTTTACAATGTTGAGGTAAGTTCCTGTTATCCCTAGTTTTTCTAGTGTTTTGAACATAAAGGGATGCTGTACTTTGTCGAATGCTTTTTCTGCATCTATCGAGATGATCATATGGTTCTTATCTTTAAGTCTATTGATGTGGTGTATAGCATTTATTGATTTCTGTATATTGATCCAAACTTGCATCCCAGGGATGAATCCTACTTGATCATGGTGCACAATTTTTTTGATATGCTTTTGTATTTGATTCGCCAGGATTTTATTGAGAATTTTTGCATCCAAGTTCAAT